ACACTAGAAGTAAAGAAAATAAAGTTTTAAGCTTTTAATAAGCATTTTTTATATCTTAATACATACAAACACCACGTGCTTTACCTACAGAATGACTGAAATCTGAGTTTGTTGCACTTCCAAAAAAACCAAGAGCCAAAAAATACGAATATTACCGAACTATAAGCCTCATGAGCCTTCTCCTAAAATTGTTTCTAAAGATCATTTATAAGAGAATCTACAAGCTGTGTGAAAGTCAAAGTTTCCATAATCAGTTCGGGTTCACAAATGCTGTTGGTACTAGAGAGGCTTTGTTCTCAGTACTAGTCTTATGCAGAGATGCAGATAGGTCAACTGTGACCTATACGCATATCTGGTTGATTAAGAGAAAGCTTTTGATCAAGTACAGCACGCCAAGATGATGCAAAGTCAAAACTAAAAGAAGCAGGAATTAACAATCAAGATCTGAGAATAATTCAAAATCTTTACTGGAATCAGACAGCAAATCTCACAGTTGGATGTGAACACACTGACTATGTGAAAATCATGCGTGGAATGAGGCAAGGCTGTATTTTGTCTCCTTTAATCTTTAATATGTACTCTAAAAGTATATTTATCGAAGCTTTGCACAAAATTGAAAAGGGTATTCTACTAAATGTTTACCGGCTAAACAACATCAGATATGCAGGTGACACCATAGTATTTGTGGACAACTTAGAAGAACTACAAGTTCTTATGAACAAAATCACGTATAACACTCAACAATATGGACTCAATATAAACGTTAAGACGCCAAAGCTTATGATAATTAGCAAGAAAAGGATAACAGAAGGTCAACTCTACGTAAACCAATCCCATGTAGAAAGAGACACGTACTATAACTACCTCGGCACCATAATAAATTAAGAATGGACCAAAATTTAGAAGATTCGAGCACGCATCGCAAAAGCTAAATCCACCTACAATCGGATGTGGGCCTTCCTCAAGAGTCATAACCTCTCTCTTGATACAAAACTAAGAATGCTGCGATGCTACGTCTTTTCTGTTCTTTTTTATGGTGTTGAATCGTGGACCTTAAACGAAGATATGTTCAGAAAACTGGAAGCATTTGAGATGTGGCTATATTGGGGAATGTTGAAGATCCCGTGGACTGACAGAGTTACAAATAAGGAGGTCCTCAGAAGAATGAATAAGAACTGAGAGGTAATGACTCCCAGCAAATCTCGAATGTTACCACTTTTCAGACATATTATGCATAATGAACCCAGATATGCTCTTTTTCAAGTCATCCTGCAAGGAAAAATATTTGAAAAATGAAGTCCAGGAAGAAGAAGAACATCTTGGTTAAGGAACTTTAGAATGTGGTTAAAAAACCTTAGAATACAACATCTGGGCAGCTTTTCTGCGCTGCTGCAGATTAGATGAAAATTGCCATGATGATCGCCAACATTCGTAACGGATAGACACATAAAGAAGAAGAATATCTTGGCACCAACCTGTAATGAGTACAATTAAATTAAACAAAGAAAACTTTAATATCTAAGCCACATATTGAGACACCAATTAGTACGGGTTCACATCGGGCTCACATCGGTCGAACTATTCAGAAGTGCACTAATTAAGATCAAAATTGCCATAATTAGGGCCAATATCCGCAGCTGAGCAGAAACATGTAGTAGAAGAAGAAAAAGAAGATTGGTAGTCTAGTGTTAGACCTACTTACGCTATTCATACTGCTTTATGTGGTTTGATTCATCAGCATAATTGGACAGCGTTGTGCATCACTAGACCAAGCACCAAAAATTTATTTTGAAATATGTCACTTCAATTATTTCACTATATTGAAATTCAGGATAAATATGTTACAATAGTCGTAATTTTTTATTTTCGAAGAGTTTTTATGTTTTCGTCACATTGTGTAATTGTGTTATACATCAATACACCAAGCGACATGGAGGACGTTTGGTCTAGTCATGCGTAACTTAAATATCATTTTTACCGAATGATTCGTAGGCCACAAGCTATTTTTTATTTTGGGTATGACAATAAAAGCCATTGTTTTGAATATTTTATATTACTGAACAAATTAATCAAAAGTAGAAAAAAAACTTGAACTGGTTGCATTGCAACGGGTTGGCCTTTTTGAAGTTTTTTGTGAAGATATGCTTCAACTTCACTAGTGTTAAAATCTGTTTTCATAAAAATACGCAGTGGTTTATACTTTCTTATTTTAATTATTTTGGTTTTAATGCAACTTACCTTACTGTTTTCTATGTCTGACTTACGGTTTGTAATAATATTTATCAACTTCCAACCAATTCTTCTTTTTTCATTCTGTGAACTACTAATGGGTTCTGTTTATGGGATTTTTTCATCACGTTTAGGTAATTATCAACGTATATAAACGTTTAATATCTTCAAAATCACTATAATTAAGTAAAAAACTATGACCAGGAAAGAGATAGAGTAATGTAATTTTTTCAATGGTAGGATGAGTTTCCAAGATCGTTTTCAGAATCAAAACTATTTTAAAGTTGCGGTTTTGGCAGTCAAAATTACAAGTTTTGCACAAGTAACATTTTCTTCAATGTGTTTCTTAAGACAACTGCCTACTTCCTGGGTTGTCCGACCAGCTTTACCTTCTATCCAAACATAACAATTACCTTTATTATCCTTGCCACTATGGATACCAACGTTGTAAATACATAATTGACGCTTATAATATACGATATTTGTTGGAATTTTTGGAAGAGGAAGAGTTTTTTTTAAATCAAAACAAAAGGTTTCCATTTCTGGTTGATCGTTGCTCATCTCCACGTCTAGCTTTTTTCTAGATTGTGCATTTTCAGCTTTTTCTAAGTGCGCATTTTTTTCTTCCTTTAGCTTGCTTAATTTTTCGTTATCTGCGCAATTTTTATATTTCTAATTCGAAACAATCACATCTACTACAAGTATATTTTTTCAACTTTTTTTTTGAAGAATAAATCGTGTTAAAAATATTTTTTTTGTAAAACGAAAATTTAGCAGAATCATTATCTTCTTCTTCAATATACAATTCATACATTTTACTTAATGTTTTGTCTTCTGTTAGGTATTCTCCTTCTGTGTTAGCTCTTTTGTAATGTGATTTGTACTTATGGAATTTCGTTATGTGCTCAATTAATTTTTGTACACGGTTATCGTTACTTTTATTATAACTTGTACTGTGACCACGACAATCTCGAATACCCATTGGACGTTTTGTTACTGGTTAGTTTTGTTACTGGTTTTTGTTCTTTTATACTTCATTGGGACTTCGGAAATTTTTGAACAAATTACAGCTCTCTGAGCATCATGAGATTCAACATTGTAAAACTTATCAAATTCTTTTTTGGCATTATCCACACCAATCTTTTCCACATACTTACACTAACAGAGATACATTGGGAACTGTTTTGATTCTTTACATACATTTTTTTGTGTGAAGTAACTCTTGTTTTAAATACAACTTTGTTTTCTTGATTAGCGACTTTGATTTAAGTACTTCGTATTCTCCCTTTTTTTGGTCTTTCCATGGGCGAATAGTTTTTATCACTTCATTGTTTAATGCTATTTTTTCTTCTTTTTGTTCCTGCTGAGGAATAATGTTACTTCTTGTTTCTCCTTTAGAAGTTGAAGACATCTGTAGTGATTCTTTTTGTGCATCTTCTGTAGAAAAATTTAAGCAATACCTGCAACTACTTCTTAACCTTAACGCCTCAACAAATTATTATCAACAACGTTCATGTACGTATGTTGCCAAATATTTGATTTACAATCATTAAAACGCTCGCAAGAGGCGCTTGGTGATGCAAAATTTAAAATTCAGAATAAGAAGAAAGACACTTGGTCTTTTTACATATATCTAGTTAAGCATTACTTACAGATTAATGATATTTATTCTGTACATAAATTATGCCATTTCCCACCAGAAAGCGCCATAACCCAAAATTTGAGAAGATGGCGCTTGGTCTAGTGATAACGCCGTGCAATTGGGGATTTTTTTGATTTATGAGATTTTGTTTTCAATTAGATCACAATTCCAATTTTTTGTACAGATCCTTTGTTTAAAAAATGGATCTAAAACCGTCAACTAAAATGCCTTAAATCTCTAATGACTAATGACTGCCTTAAACCAAATAAAAATAGCAGTAAGGAATCCACGCTTATCTTGAGTGACTCATCACAAACAACCAATAAACGAGATATCCCTCATTTTTGTGTGTTTATATAAAAAATCCTGAAACCCATCAAAAGATCGGATTTTATTTCTATTAAGTTTTTTTCTTGGCTTTATTCAATATCGTTGCGGCCCTGATCTCGCAAAATGGGGCAAAATTAAATTCCCTGAAAAATAACGTGATCGATAACAATACCAACAAATATCCTAAATGCTTCAATTCTTACCCCATCTAAAGCGGCAAAAGAACCTAAATAGGTTTATATAGCCTAAAGGCGTCTTTTCTTTCGAGTTCCGTTTGTTTTATTTAGAAACAGGCTAAAACGTTCTTGTTTTAAAGAGCGTCGTCTAACTCCCTCTAATAGCTTTTACAGAGTGATCAACAAAGAGAAGACTGGCGATTATATTGAGGTTGGTACGCTTTATTTGATAAAATAGTAACAGTAAGAGAAAAAGTGATGACTGTTTTATGGAAATAATGAAGAATGCAGAAAATGCCGATAAGAATAAATCAGCAGGAGATAAAATAAAAGATTACGAGTAGCATGCGGATAAACATAAGAAAAAAGTTGAAATTAAAATCAACAAACGGACAATATAAATTTTAATAGTAGTACTATATTATTTGGAAAGAAGTTTATGAATAAAGAAACCTGGTGGTAGTCAACGCATTTCAAGAGAAAAGACGAAAAGAAATGGTTATATTTTTCATCAATTGTTATTCCAATTAAATATAATATACCAAATTTAAGACGAACATAAAATACCACAACCCTCTGAGTTTCTTGTCTCTTTACACTCATTTCTTTATTTTTTTGTGTAGGAAAAATGGAGCAGCCGCTACAAGAGAACTGTTAAAAGGGGACCCAGATGCTCACAATTTCCAGGAATATACGTATAAGAAGATCACCCCCTGCGACGTTTGTTCACAAGTACTAAGGGGTAAGTGCAGATTTTTTTCTTCAATTGATAAATAAATTAACTTAAGGCTAGTAAGGACGTTGGAAGTTTTATTACTTTTATAAAGACACTTTTCCATGTTCCAACGTCCTTGGTATCGTATCTCCATCAGCTTCATATCTGGTGCAATCGTTCACCTTATTCTTCACCGATATCACCACGATTTTTAGGTAAAAAGTCAAGATGGTTATGCAAAAAGTAGATTTTGGGGCTCATTAAAAATCCCAAGTCTTTAAATTTATCCAATTAATTAACTAGTATAAGCTTGTAGTTAGGGTCTTTCATATTACCTAAAAACTTGGTTACAACTTTTTTGAATGCAACCCAAGCTTCTTTTTTCTTAGTAGTCATCTTGGTTTTTAAGATAGAATTTAACATTACTTTAAGAATATCTGGTCTAAAAAAATACCTTCTTTCAATTTGGCTTCTTATACATAAGAAAACTTTCCACTCAAGTACTTAAAACATTCCTCATGCTTAGACAGGGCCTTGGCAAACTATTTCATTAAGCCTATCTTGATATGTAGAAGTAGAAGAAGGATCTTTTTTGAAGCTACTAAAGTTTTGTACAAAGTCATTTTTTTGCCATGTGATAAAACATTTTTTATGGGCCATTGTTTTGTAGTCCAGTGTTTATCTCATGCTCTATTGTCCTATATACAAATAAAATACATGAAACCTTTGTAAATTCCTTCTGTTGACCAAGTAGCATGCAAACAACTTTCAAATTTACACAGATCATCAAATTGTGAGCTTAATGGCTGATTTTTTTGTAGAATTGTGTCAAGACTTTCATGTCTCTTTAGCAATACGAACTGAATCATAAGTCTTCCCATTATGTAAGGATACAGCTTTTAAACTTGTTTTTGAAGAATTTACAAAAAGCCTTATGTTCCCAACTCTCATGAGATGTTTAAAGAGAAAAGGATTCGACAAAAATGACATTAACATAGTGAGAAATCTCTATTGAAACCAACAGGCTGTGGTAACATTAGATGGAAATACCACGAATGAGCAACAGATAAGTGGAGGAGTGAGATAGGTCTGTGTACTTTTACCATTACTATTAAATATATATTCCGAAGAGCTATTTACACAAGCACTTAAAAACTGTACAGAAAATGTAAATTTACTGTTTGTATTTTGAGAACGATTTCCGAAGTGGAAATTGAAACGTCAACAAACGTATTTTTATCTTTAATTGTGGCTTATTCCCAGTTAAATAGTAATTAAAATGTACAGAAGTAATCAAGATAAATGGTGAAAATATAAATATTATCCGTTATGCTGAAGATACAGTCATTATCGCTTAAAGTGAGACGGACCTGCAGATGTTAGTAAACACAATTTGTGATACTGGGGAATAGTTTGGTTTAACAATAAACATAAAGAAAACAAAAACCATGGTTATCAGTAAGAGGATCAAAGTCATTAAAAGAATCCAGATAAAAAATGAATATATTAAGCAGGTAGACAAAATGAAATACTTAGGAGTCTGGATTACGGAAGATCTAAATCTGAAATCAGAAATTCGCTCAAGAATAGAGCAATCAAGAGCAGACATTTTGAAGATGAGGAAATTTCTGAGTAGCCAAAGACTCAATCTGCAAATCCGATATCGAAAGGTAATATGTCATATCCACTCTATTATTCTTTATGATGTCGAAGCCTGGACTGTTCATGTTGACTTACTGAGAAGACTGACAGCGTGTAAGATGTGACTTTTAAGGAGGATTTTGAAGATATCATGGATCGATCATATTACGAACAAAATGGTGTTGCACAATATGAGAAGAGACAGAAAACTTTTGACCACCGTTAAAAGGCGAATGATAGCATATTTGGGGAACATACTTGGATATGATAAGTAAGAGTTGTTGCAGCTGATTATGAAGGGTATAGTCGAAGGAAAAAGGAGTCCTGGTAGACGACAAATATCATGGCTGAAAAACATTCGCGACTGGACAGGGTTAAAAAGACAGACGTTCTTAAGAAAAGCAGAATATAGAGATGAATTTGCAATGTTTATAGTCAACCTTCATTAGTGGAGACAGCTCTAGAAAAAGAAGAAGAAGATAAAAAGCCTCCAATGATCCTTATTATACTTAATAACAAACTTAGTCATTAGACCTCCAATATTATGACAGTAGACTGTTGATCTCTGTACCTATACTTGTAAATAGATTTACCAGGCGACAACAAATTCTTTTCTTTTAATCTTAAGCCAAGCAATTCTGATTTTTCCTTTGTTAAACCCAAATCTCTTACTAGGTAATCTAAATAAGCTTGTGTAAACAACTGTGGTTGTATTTTTCTGATGAATACTAAAATTCACCATCACGTCAGATTCTGATTCACTCGTATTTAATATGTCATTTATACGTAGAGGAGGCTCAGGGACTAGCAGTTCAGATCCATGCTCTACCGGAATAGCAGACAGAAGGTTAGGATAAACAACTACTTACCTATTTTTGGAGTTGTATCCAGAAATTCCAATTTATGATTTATTAAATCTGGTTATTCCAGAAATGGCATTCCAAACAATGGCCTGAAGACTGGACAAAATCTACAATAACGACCATACATAAAAAAGGCAGCTTCCAAAAATGCGACAATTATAGAACTGTGTCTCTTATATCCCATGCCAACAAGATAATGCTACATATAATCAATGAAAGACTGGAAACATTCCTTCAAAGAGAAATTCCACAAGAGCAAACTGGATTTACCAAAGTAGAGGCACTCTAGAACACCTACTGAATATAAGACAGATAATCGAGAAATCTAGGGAATTCAACATCCCACTATATATCTGTTTTATAGATTACCGTAAAGCATTAGACAGGGTCAAGTGGAGACACTTATAGCGAATACTAAAAGAAGTAGGCGTACCACAACATCTAATTACGCTTATGACTGAACTATATGAACACACTACTGGATCAGTTAAAGTACTTGACACACTTTCGAACGAGTTTCATCCAGAACGGGGTTTCAGACAAGGATGTATACTATCTTCACAATTATTCAATATATGTGGGAAGTATATTATGCGAAGAGCACTTAAAGGATGGGAAAAGGGCATCTCAATAAATGGTTATAAACTAAACAACCTACGTTTCGCAGATGACACAGCCCTTCTTGCAAATAGTCAAGCAGAGCTGATGAAACTTATACGACTGATCGAAAACAAAAGTCAAATACTTGGTCTGCAATTAAACATATCAAAGACAAAGATCATGATAGTGGATAGACTACACAACAATCATCCACACATAATCACAATTGACCGGTTCGAGGTTGTGAGCTCATACTTATATCTGGGATCATTAATCACAAACACAGGGTCATTACAAGAAGAGATTAAACGTAGATTGATCTAGCAAAAGTTGCCACAGCAAAAATGACCAAAATATGGAAGGACTGTCAAATTTCAAGTGCGATAAAGATGAGGTTGATCAACTGCTTAATATTCCCAATACTGACCTACGGATGTGAATCTTGGACTCTGAGACAATCGAAGAGAAGAAAGATAGACGCCACTCAAACGTTCTGTTGGAGACGAATGTTACGAATTCCTTGGACTGACCGTAGAACAAATAATTCAATTTTAAGAGAGCTAAAAGTTAGCCAACGACTCTCTAGTAAAGTCCATCTCCAACAATTAAAATATTTTGGGCATGTTATGAGAGCAAACACGAAAAACATGGAAATACTCATAATATAAGGAAAGGTAGAAGGATAGATCAAATTACAGGAATATGCCAAAGACCTATGCATGAATTAAGAGAAATGACCAGAAACAGAGATCTCTGGAGACGGACAATACACGACATCACGTCGACCACTACACTCCCCCTGGGGGGTCAGGATTGAAGAGAGAGAGATCCAGAAACATCGACAGTACAAAAATAACAATCATTTAAATGATTTCTTTGCTCTCTCCATACCATAGGTACTGAAAATCTGAAAGTTTTTTTTCTTTCTTCGACCACTTCCTTAAATCCTCAACACAAACTTAACATACATTGTGAGGAGCCCAACCTTTGTCTTAGTCACCAATTATTACACCAAAATATGCAAAATACGCCTTTTTTACAAACTCAGAATTGTTTCTCTGATGTTTTTTAATAACAAAATCGCCACATATGTAACAAAATGTATTTGGACAGTTTTTACAACCGCCACTAAGAGTATGAATCAAACACTGAAAGTGAGGTTATGTTTATTAGAATAAAGAACTATACAGCTGTTAATGAAGAGAAAGAAGAACAAAACGTGTTGTAAAATTTAATAACAGTGCTATCAACCAAGTAACATTAGATTTCTCTGCTCGTTAATCAAAATAAAATGTAATTATTCAACTTTGACTGTTAAATTTTGATAGAATGATGGGTGATATAGCATTTTAATGTGATTTTCGGACTCAGCGCACTAAAATACATAAGATAGAGGTAATTTCCCGTGTTATTTATCTAATTTATAACAATTATGATACTTTACTTAATCAGAAATAATAACACTATAAACAAGTTTAAGTGAGACATCTCTAGTGATAGTTAAAACAAAACAATGTTTACTTTTTATCTTAATCTGTATTTTTACAAAATAAAGATTTTTAAATAACTGCAATACTAAGTTTTATAAAAGGAAAAATAAATTTTAGTTGTGTAAGTTTCAGGAAAGTAATTTTATCTCAAAGATTGAATCTTCTCGTGGATTTACATAGTAATTAGAAAGTTTAACTTACGATTCATTCTCTAAAATCATCTAAAACTTTTACCAAAACTTGTTTGGCATTTAATGATGGAAATTAGTTCTAAATTAGAAAGCTTACAATGGGAAACTTCCTGGTCGGAATCTGAAAACCGCTGTGAAACTTTTCTTGACTAATTAACTAAAAGAAAAAACGCAAATATCAAATTGGCATTACAACAATGGCATAAGCTAAGTTATAAAGAAAATTGATAAGTATAACAATG